TGGAACGTGGGCGGGTCGGGCTCCTGGTGGGCTCAAGGTCGCAGCCCGAGGGGAGAGCGCCGGAGCTGCCTGAGGTGTCCCGGGCAACGCGGGCCCCAACGCTGGGCCACCTTCATGGCCACGCACAGAAAGGAGAGCCCCAGGATGGGGCAGGGGACACGGCCTACTCCTCCACAGCACAGCCTCCCACCCCACCTGGCCACGCCCCTCCTAGTCCCCTGGAGAGCCACCCCCACGGGAGCCAAGATGGCGGCTCCCTGTGCACACAAATGCGTGCACACACGCACGCTCTCTGTGCACGCGGAGCGCCGGACGGGCAGCCCAGGCAGGGCATCGCGGCCCTCTGGGGATGGACAGCTGCCTGCACATGAGCACCCCACGTGAGGCTCGGGGCCCTTCAGGAACACCTCTTGACGGAGGTGTCCCGAGCACAGTAGGAGGGTCCTGGCCCTGGGGGCCTGGGCAGGTCGAGAGTATGGCCATGGTCCATGGCGGCCTCACCAGTTGGCCTTCACAGCCTTGATGTCACTCACAAGGTTCTGGGCCAGGCAGATGCCAAAGATCTGTAAGAGACAGGGCAGGTGGGAGAGGCTGCCAGCAGGGCCGGGCCGGGCCAGGCCGGGCAGCGGCATGCAGGCCCGTGTACCTGGAGGAGGGCGATGCCCACAAAGACCCCGGCCACGACGATCAGGTTGTCCTGCAGCCACTTCTCAAACTGGCCCACGCAGCCTTTGGTGTGGATAGAGCCTTGCTGCTCCAGCTCCTAGGACACACAGGCATCAGGCTCCCTGCCGCCCGGGCCTCACACCCGTGCCCTCCTCCAGCGGGCTGGCCTCCTCCATGGACTCAGCGCCGGGCCTCCGCAGAGCTGGCTCCTTCTCGTCCCAGCACAGAGCTCGGTCTCCCTCCCCAACCACCCAGCAGTCGGTCCCCTCCCTTACTTCATTTTGCTCGAGCTCGTGGTTGCAATGACCACGTGGCCGCTCCTGCTGGCCTATGCACCCCTGGCCTCGCCCCAGTTCTTGAGAGCAGAGCCCCGCCCTCTAACGGCACAGAATCCCAGCACGCGCCCCAGTCCCACACACACAGTAGGTGCGTGACAGTCGGGACCAGAGAGCCCACAACGCCCGTGCCCACTATTGAGCCCTGGGCGGGTTCCTGGGCCCTGCACCCCACACAATCCCTGAGGCCTCCTAGATCTTACAGGAGTCCCCTTTCCCACCATCTCCCTGACTCACCAGTTTGAGCCGGACATCGTAGCCACACTGCGTGTTGAGGACGTCTTCCTGCGGGAGACAGTGAGTGACTGGTGAGGACGCTCTGCCTTCGTGGACAGCAGAGGGCCCGAACCCTGCGGCACCCACCCATGAGCGAGGCTCCCCGAGGCCCGCGCCCTTTCCCAGACGCCAGGGCTCAGAGCTGCGGGCACCTCCGGGAGCGCCTCTGGAGGAATACCGCCTGCAGTGTAAGAGTGGGGCCAGCAGATGGCGTGAAGTGAAGGCTGGATTCCCACAATGGCTGACATGGTTTAAAAGTCACACCAGGCGTGTGTGCCCTAAATCCTGAGGAAAACAGAGAAGGGACAGCGGCACGGCCACCCCGGCCGGGGGTGATTTCTCACCTTCCCTTTCTCTAGCAAGCGCACACACCCTACAACAAACTGAAAAACAAGGAGGCTGAAACCTGGCCCTTAGTGTCCCAGATGAACAGTGACTGAAGGGACGTCACCGTGAGGGTCTCCCCGGAAGGCCACGTGGGAGCCGTAACACTCCCAGCCCCAGCTGGTGGCCCAGTGGGAGGTGGGTGGCTGCAGCGGGGCCTGCACCAGCCCAGCTTCAGGCGGGCCAGGAGCGGAGCCTGTTGGGAGCTGCCTTTGGCTCGGAGCACAGGGGCAGGAAGGCCCCTGGTCCCCCGCCATTCCGTCTCTCCTCCTGTTGGATCTTGGGCACACACACACGTGCCCCGTGTGAGCTTCACGCCACCGAGTCCAGGACTCAAACAGCAGTGGACTACATGGAAGTCCAGTGATGCACCCATTATGCCATCCGCTGGTCCCGGGGCCTGCCTTTTCCTCCTGCTACAATCAGGTTTTGCTGAGAGAGAAAGCAGTCTCTGACCCCACCAGCCTCACCGCCGCCCACAGACACGAGTGGCCCACAGCGAACGACCTCCCGAGCCCAACGCCGGCCCGGAAGCAACAGAGGCAGCTCTGGAGTCTACACACTGCAAAACCCCCACCCCCAGCCCCACTCACCGCAGGGTCCCTGACGCAGCAGGAGAAGGGCACCCCGCAGCGCTCCCGGCTCGGGTTCAAGTCAGTGCAGTTGAAGTAGATGTTGAGGTTCCAGTCGTTGGGCCCTCGGGCTCCGCAGCAAGACCACTGGGACAGGGGAGAGCCCAAGTGAGCCAGGCCCACCCAGCAGCCAGGCCCACCCAGCTGCCTCACCCTGTTGGGGAACAAGCCAGGGATGCCAGGGCTGCCTGGGAGGAAGCCAGGGGGTAGCCAGGCATGTGGACGCCTCCCCGGCCCACACAACAGACAGACCGGGCCTGGGCCAAGAGAGAGCAGGACATCGGAGGTAGTGCGCTGCAGGAGGGCATCCCGATCTTGGCCCCGAACTTGAGAGGCTGGAGAAAGGGCCAAAGGGGTGGGGATGCTGGCTCCTGAGAGCTAGGTGCTGGGACCAGCGCTGCGAGGACAGGGACAGGGACAGTCCATGTGTGCACCCGGTCTCCCCACACTTGCCCAGGAGATTTTACTAAGACCTTCTCCCTGGTGCAGGGAAGGGGAGAACCCTGCCCTTCTCCCTCTCTTCCTGCCACCCCACCCAGCCCATCCCACCGCCCTGCCACCGCACCTGGATCCAGAACCTCCTCTGCTGTCACTCCAGAGGGGAATGGCGACAGTGGGGCTGCCGCAAAGCCAAGGGCTCACACTGCAGCAGGGGGGCAGCTCGGCCCAGGCTGAGCAGGCAGCTGCTGGGAAGCCGCCGTGCAGGCCCAGAAGGCCCAGGGCTGCCGAGGGACTACTTGTGCACAGGCACGGCTGCCCACAGCCCTGCCCAAGTGCGGCCCGGATGGGTGGTGTACACAGGGCCCGGGAGCCCGGCTGGCCCTGCCTCCTCTCCCCGGCTTGCAGCCGCTGCTCCAGCGCGAGTACACCCTGCCCCTCTCATCTCTGTTCCTTGGGGGGGCTCCAAGGCCTCCCCCTTCTCCACCCACCCCGCAGCAGCCCTCACTGCAACCCATCATTCTGTGCACACGGCTGTTTGTTTTGCTGGCTGAGCCTCTGCCCTTCCTCAGCCACGAATCCCTAGCACCTGGCCCGGGGCCGCACGCCGAGCCCTTGATGACTCTGTAAGCGGGGCCATGGCTACAGGTGCCCGCCTGGCTCTGCCCACTCTGCCACGGGGGAGCACCCCTCAAAGCAGGCCGAATGCTACGGACGGCCGAGGGACTGGCTGTGAGCAGCTGTGGACAGGTGTGACGGTGTGTGGCATCACAGGGTGTGAAGGAGAGAACGTGCAGGGGAGGCAGCTACGATTTTGTCAACTATTTTCTGTTTTAGTTTTTCGCTTGTTTTTGAATTCGCTAGGGGACCTGTATTCAATGGAGAAAGACGCAGAGGAAGAAAAGGGAGAGAGCACCTCCCACGGGCGACGGTCACGCTGCCATCCCTCCTCCGGTCCTCTCAGGATTTGGGGCACAACCGTGCAGCTGGCCATGTGGGACTCAGCCGCCTTTAACCGCCACGCCACTGGCTGGGGGGGGGGGGGGGGGGGGGGGGCGCGGGGGGGGGGGTGGAG